AAAGCCATCAACAATGCCCCTGCTGTGAGAGACTCACAGCCAACAAGGCTCACAGGGACAGCAGCATTGCTGGCAGGCACTGTCCCAGCTATGCACCCCGCACCCTATGAGGCTCAGAGGAGGAACAGCGTTCTTCCCACTGCAAGCCCCACAGCTGACAAGTGTCACTACTGCCAGCCTTCTCAACTGTGGGGCTGGCAGTAGGTGGTGCTCCCCTGTGATTTGGAGCCCCTCAGTTGATGGGACTCCCAGTAATAGGGGACCACTTGGCCACACACTCAATTAATGGCATAATTAGAACAAGCTACAAAATTATTCCACATTTTTTGCGGAATAATTTTGTGGCTTATTGCTTGTTTTCATAGTTTCATAGCTTGTAGGGTCAGAAGGGACCTGAGTAGATCATCAAGTCCGACCCACTGCCATGGCAGGAAAGAGTACTGTGGTCAAACGACCCCAGCAAGGTGTTCATCTACCCTCCTCTTAAAGACCCCCAGGGTAGGAGCCAGCAACACTTTGCTTGGAAGTTGGTTCCAGATCCTAGCCGCCCTGACAGTGAAGTAGCACCTCCTGATGTCTAGTCTGAATTTACCCTCTGCCAGCTTGTGACCATTATTTCTAGTCGCCCCTGGTAGTGCTCAGGGGAACAGGGACTCTCCCAATGCCTGCTGGTCCCCTCCAACTAGTTTGTAAACAGCCACCAGATCCCCCCCTCAGCCTTCTCTTGTGGAGGCTGAACAGGTTCAGGTCCCATAGCCTCTCTTCATAGGGTCTTCCCTGCTTCCCCCTGATCATGCAAGTGGCCCTCCTCTGGACCCTCTCCATATTGTCCACACCCCTCTTGAACTGCAGCACCCAGAACTGGACACATTACTCCAACTGCGGCCTGACCAGTGTCACATAGAGGGGGAGAATCACCTCCTTGGACCTGCTTGAGATGTACGGTTGGCCTTCCTGACCACTTCCCCACACTGTCGGCCCATGTTCATTTTGGCATCAATAATGACTCCAAGATCCTTTTCTGCCTCTGCACTGACAAGAAGGGAGTTCCCCAGCCTGTAGGTATGCTGCTGGTTCTTCCTCCTCAGGTGCAGCACCTTGCACTTGTCAGTGTTGAAATGCATTCTGTTCTTATCTGCCCACCCCTGTAACCTGTCTAGGTCCGACTGTAGCCTATTCATCCCTTCTAGCATGCCCACTTCCCCCCACATCTTAGTTTTATCGTTCCATTAATTGGCTGAATGTGTAGCTGTGTCACAACTTAAGGTGTGATTACTTGGTTAATCATTCTTTAAGTGTAATGTGTAGAGGGGGCCTTTGCAATACATGTCAATGTCTTCTGTAATTGTTACCTGGCTAACTGTGCATTCATCCCTCTTAGCCCATCTTGAGTGCACTAGACAAACAATTTCCTGCATCTCATTAGAGATGGATCCATACTGGCCAACCACTCTCACACTGGTCTTTTGTCCTGCATATCTCTGGATCCCAGTTACATAGGTGTCAAAGTTGTATCTGTTGTTAACGTATGTTTCCCTTTGAGAGAGACTGACAGAATATATGCCTTCAATGACACAGGCCCAGCACCTTTAAAATGCAGAAATATTTATGAATTTATCAAGGGTTCAAGGGTATAGGTTATAGCCATGTTGGTCTAAGGACACAGACAGACAAGGTTCTCCGGGTGAGTCCAATATCTTTTATTAGATCAATTCAAATAGTTGGGAAAATTCTTCTTTGCAAGCTTTCATATCAAAGGTTCAAAGCATTTATAATAAAGCATACATAAAAGGCCTTCAAGCATGGGTATGGTTTACACCACTGAAAGTTTTCCTCCACCCAGCTAACTCCATTCTTGGCAGGTAAAAACATCCTGACCTACTCATAAAACTTCTGTTTCCTGTCTCTCTTGTATCTGTAAGATATCAACTGCCCTTTGATCTCTCTTCTCGGCTTTGACAAAACAACTATGTCATCAGGACTGCGGCCAAAGAATTACCTCTTCACAGTTATAAACACAGCCTTTCGTGTTTCAATGCTTGCTGAAATGTCCTTTATCTCAGCCACAACTTTGCCCTTCCTTCTTAGTTTAACAGTTCCTTTTTATCTAACTCCACAGTAAGTAATGCATCCTAACCAAATACTCAATGGGAGGCGTCTACCACGGTCATATAAAGTAAGATGGATATTTCTCAGTTCATAGCGTTTTCATCATCTTATTATTTGGCAGAGCTGTGCATGCAGCTCAGATCTGAAGTTAGAACAGGAAGTTGAGTCTGGGCACTATAGTCTTCTTTAAAAAAGTCCTATCTTCAAACATGGACAGTAGCAGCTCTGCTCGTATGTCCTCCCTAGCAAAAGCTAAAGATCCAAAAATCAGTCTACAGGCTCAGTCAATTCTTGATCAAAACACTGGACTTGAGGCTAAACACAATCACTGACTCCAAAGTCCTCTTGCTAAGTAACAAATTGAATGTAATATTAATAGCTAATCAACTATCAAAGCAAGCAAAGACTTCCAACACCTGACACAACCTCCAGCACCTTTATTGTGAATGCCAAGCCAGAAGTATTCCTGATAAATATTATCAGACACCAGTCCCAAATCATGGAAACTGTGCTATTGTGTTCCTTTGCTAGTGAGGTCAGCTAACAGACAAGCAAACTAATGTTCAGACCCTATTGTATGTGCCCAAGCACAATTCTGTTTGGAGGAGGGAAGGCAGAGCTGTTCACTAGCAGTAGTGTGATACTTTGTCCTTACATGGGAGAGGTTTATGTGAATGTACTTACTGCCCAAGTCAAAGGCTGAAGGAGCGAGAAAAGAAGGTGGAATTCCCCTCCACACAGACTGCTACAGATCCACAAGACATTCAAACATCCTACAGCTGACTGAAGCTGTAACTTGTTGCATGTCATTCTTCTAACAAGCTATGCATCACCTCAATGCTCTTGGAGAAAATGACTAATCGTGCAGTAGCACTTGTGTCAGTCAAACTATCTTTCACTTATTCACTGGACAGCATAGAGGAATTATGCACACTCTCTTATTAGGAGTGAGTGACATATAAAGTGACACAAAGCCTTGTCAAAAAACATGACAAGAAAAATACCAAGAATGTGGGGACTGTACAGATTCACTGGATATAACTTCACGTTATCCACATGTGTAATCATGGATTTTGCACACACTTCCTCTCCATCCTCAAACCAGCCTCTTCTGTAAGCTTTTCAGAGCTGCCCTTATTCCTGTACCACCACCCTGATCATCACAAACAAGAATAAAATTGAAATGAATTGGATGCATATGTGGCACAGACAAGTGACTGTAACATCTTACACTGTTGTAATCCCACCCTTCCTTACATGCCCCCAACTTGCCTGTTATCCCTCTTATGCCATGTCTAACAGCTTATAAATGCCTTTGGCAGAGACCTGTCATGGATCCTTTGTCAAGAAAGTGCCATATCCATGGCATTCTATACATACATAATTTTTTTGAACACAACGACAATTCACCTGCTTGAGGCAAGATAATAACCTGACTGGAAACAGGATGCTGGTTATCCAAAGGCAGAGGTGGTGTGGGAGGCAAGAAAACCACCATCATAAAGGAGGAAAGGAGGGAGAGAACACAGAAACAACACCGTGTTTTCAAAACTTGACACCACAACACCCAAACTCAAGAGATTCAGGAAGACTTTAATGTTACGTATGGTGTGAACAACAGTGGTCACTGTCAGCAGTTTGGGAATGATGCACACACCTGTCCACCCATTGTCAATACTCACCCTCATGCCTGAAACTCAGAGTGACAGTAGAGTCCCCCACACTTAAGGGCAACGCAAATCACCATTCAGTTCATATTGTCAGAAAGAGAACATTTACATAATGACCAGAGACAGAAGGTAAAGAAAGGGAGGGATGGGAAGAAGTCAAGGCCAGAACACAAAGGTCTCCCCCTCTGTCTTTACTTATGCTTCTTTACTTATGAAGTATTTAAAACTGTTGTAAGCAACAATCATGACCATTTCAAGGATAACTTGCTATTTAACAATCACCTACCTGAAATGACTGTATTAAAAGATTTTAAAATTGCTGTCCCATAAGAATCTAACACCGTACCACAACAATTTGCAAGATGATTTAACTGCCATCATCTGGAACCACTTCACTGGTTTACTTAATCTGACTCTCAAAATGGCATTGCTAATATTGGGATGAAAGGGAAAAGAAAAAAAAAAAAACCTAATCAGAAAAACATGCACCTACCTCCATTCATCCTATTTGGTTGCTGCTCGGGCATTTGGGCTTGAGGAGAATAAACCACCATCATAAAGGAGGAAAGGAGGGAGAGAACACAGAAACAACACCGTGTTTTCAAAACTTGACACCACAACACCCAAACTCAAGAGATTCAGGAAGACTTTAATGTTACGTATGGTGTGAACAACAGTGGTCACTGTCAGCAGTTTGGGAATGATGCACACACCTGTCCACCCATTGTCAATACTCACCCTCATGCCTGAAACTCAGAGTGACAGTAGAGTCCCCCACACTTAAGGGCAACGCAAATCACCATTCAGTTCATATTGTCAGAAAGAGAACATTTACATAATGACCAGAGACAGAAGGTAAAGAAAGGGAGGGATGGGAAGAAGTCAAGGCCAGAACACAAAGGTCTCCCCCTCTGTCTTTACTTATGCTTCTTTACTTATGAAGTATTTAAAACTGTTGTAAGCAACAATCATGACCATTTCAAGGATAACTTGCTATTTAACAATCACCTACCTGAAATGACTGTATTAAAAGATTTTAAAATTGCTGTCCCATAAGAATCTAACACCGTACCACAACAATTTGCAAGATGATTTAACTGCCATCATCTGGAACCACTTCACTGGTTTACTTAATCTGACTCTCAAAATGGCATTGCTAATATTGGGGTGAAAAGGGAAAAAAAAAAAAAAAAAACCTAATCAGAAAAACATGCAACCTACCTCCATTCATCCTATTTGGTTGCTGCTCGGGCATTTGGGCTTGAGGAGAATAGTACTGCTGCTGATAATTATTTGAAGGGAAATGCTGTGAAGTGGGGCTTCTTCTGCACTCCCGAATACTGGAAAAAGTCTGTGAGTGTGGAATTCCTCTTTGGAATGGTGAACAACGAGTAAGTCGAGGCTGTGGAGGGGGCAGGTGGTCAAATTCTTCTTCGTCCTCAAGACTGTAGCGATCATATTCCTGATCACTGCATGTCCCTTTCTTTCCTGAATGTAGAGATAGACTTGAACTGTGTCTTGACACAGAGGCTGAAGTAGAAGCATAATCTTGTCTGAGACCTGTAAATTTTATGAAAAAGATGTTTGACCTTTAAACACCTTGTAACCAAATTATATTTCATCCCTATCTTCCTCAAAAGTAGTGGAGTTACACCACTTTTTACCACTTGATTATCTGATCATTAGCATTCTAAATTGTTTTCTTTACATCTATTCTAAGCCGGCATGGCAACTTTATTAATGATAACATTATTAACCTGGTATCTAAATAAGTGCTCTGAAGCAGTGGGTCTTAAGATTTTTTACACCAGAACCCTCCCTGAAAAAATATTACCTGTTTTTACAGGTAATAGCCACACTGATTACCACTGAGAGCAACCACAAAGAAAAAATATTTCTCATTATTTTCATTTTGTATACCTGTGGCCTTATTTTGAAAGCGTTAAGTACATGCAGCTCCCATTGACCTTAACAGAAGGCCTGGTTGGTAAGCAAATTAGATATGATCATTTCCCATTTTTTGTTAACCTGAGTCTTTCACCCAGAAGCAGAGAAAAATAGGACTTCAAATGTTAATTTCACAAATATCAATTAAAGCAATCAAAAAGGATCCTGTCTCCTCCCCCCCAGTTATCCATGCTTCTTTTCTTAAATGGCTGCAAACTTCATTTGAACAGAATTTCATTTCTAAATAGTTTTCCATTTCTAAACATTACTCCAGACGTTAAAAAGCAGTCAAGACACATTCTTATCGTCTATCTGTTGCTGCTGTAACAGAAGATCATTAACATATGATCTTTTAAAATGTTCACCACAGATTTCAGGCTTTTGGAAAACAAGATTAAAGAAAAAGGTACAACTGCCATTTAAAGAGCAGAAGTCTACGCATTTTTGATGGACTAACAGTAATTACATTTTCCTTTAAACCTTAACAATTCTTCGCCTTCACATACTATCAATTATTTTCTCCATGTCAATGCACTGTATGATGTAAAAAGTGGGCACACCAAAAATTCAGTATTTCAGCAAAAATTCAGTCTTTTATTCTCATCTAAACTTCATAGATTTCATAGACATTAGGGCTGGAAGGGACCTACTGAGATCATTGGGTCCAGCCCTATGCCCAAAGGGCAGGAAAGACCGCTGGGGTCAGATGACCTCAAAAAGATAATCATCCAAATGCTTCTTGAATGTGTCCAAAGTAGGTGCTTGCACCACTTCCAGCGAGCGTCTACTCCATACTCTGGAGACTCGGAGAGTAAAGAAGTTTTTCCTTATATGCAATCTAAAATGGTCTTCCAGCAGTTTGAGACCATTGGACCTTGTCTTGCCTTGGGGTGCCTTAGTGAACAGATGTTCTCCCAGATCCTGATGCACATCCCTCATATACTTATAGGCCAGGGGATTTCAACATTTTGGGATTAGTATACCCCCGGCAGCTAAACACAGAGCAATGTACTCTAGCAGCTGGACTGCAGAATGGGGGGTGGGGGATGGCATGTGGGCAAATGCAGAGTGGCAGCAGCCACCACATGTGAGCTTCCCCCACCCCACACTGCGTTTGGCCATGAGAGTGGCACCTGCATGGGATAGTGTATGGCAGCACTCCGTCCCCACCCACCCACACATACCCCCCTAGGGCCTTCTGAAGTACCCCCAGTTGACAACCCCTGTTATAGGCTGCCACCAAGTCCTCCCCTAAGCCTATGCTTTTCCAAACTGAAGAGTCCCATGCCTTTCACCCTCTCCTTGTAAAGGCCTGCCCTCTTGACCTCAGATCATGCGCATGGCTCTCCTCTGCACTCTCTCAAGCTTCTCCACATCCTTTCTGAAGCGTGGAGCCCAGAACTGGAGACAATACTATAGCTGCAGTCTCACCAAGGCCGAATAAAGCAGAAGGATGCCATCTTGGGTCCCACTTGAGATGCGTCGGTAGATGCAAGCCAGGATTTTATTCACTTTGCCAGCTGCAGCATCAGATTGGTGGCTTATATTCATCTTGTGGTCAATCATGACCCCCAAGTCTTTCAGTCATAGTGCTAGTGAGCGTAGGTCTGCTGAGTCTATAAGTAGTTTCATAGTGCTGGTCAAGTTGGAGATCAAGAGGGTGCCCCTGAGGGTCACTTTTCACTGCTTTTTATCTGTCCTTGGCAGAATTTGGTAACTCCCCAGTTTTCAGGTTTGCCCAATCCAGGGGTCGTTGACCCTCATGGGACTTCCCCCTCGGTGGCTACTGGATGGCATCTGTCAGCCCCAGGGGTCGTCCGCATGTACGTGCAGGTTTGGGAGTCCATTGGTGAATTTTGAATAGGGCTCTGGGAGTGGTCAATCTGGAGATATTCAGCCCAAACGTTGGTCCCCGGCATTGATTAACTCAGACCAGGGCTTCTAGCCCTTGAACAGTGAAGTTTAGAGAATTCCCAGTTGCTACATTGTCTCCTATTGATTTCTTTCCTTGGTTGATCTGCGGTTTTCCTAGGTATTAATTGCTGCCTGCTACTGTGTTACGCATTCAATCACCGATTCACTCGCTCTTTCAGGGGCCCGCCTGATACAGGGAAGCGGCAGTTTAATTCCTGCCCTTGTTAACATTGTTACAGTGTATAACTTACTTCTGAAACTAAACACATTTAGTTAAAAGGTGAGGAGTATAAAATATAAGCTACAAGAGTAATGCCATGGCACACAAATAGATAAAAATACCAAAATACAAGGGGAGATACAAAATACACACATACAAACTTTAAAATGGAATCCTTATCTTATACTGAAGGTAGTGCTCGGGGGAACGAGGACTCTCCCAATGCCTGCTGTTCCCCGTTGGTCAATTTGTAGATGTCCACCAGATCCCCTCTTAGCCTTCTCTTGTGAATGTTGAACACGTTCAGGTCCCATAGCCTCCCCTTGTAGGGCCTGCCTTGCTGCCCCCTGATCATGTGAGTCGCCCTCCTCTGGACCCTCTCGATGCTGTCCACATCCTTCCTGAAGAGCGGCGCTCAGAACTGGATGCAGTACTCCAACTGCGGCCTGACCAATGTCGCATAGAGTACGATGTGGGTTCTTTCTTCCAAGGTAGAGCACCCTTGCATTTCTCCATGTTGAAAGGCATCAGGTTTTGATCCACCCACTTTGCAAGCCTGTCCAAGTCGGCCTGAATCCCCAGCCTATCTTCTAGTGTGATGACACCAAATTATGGGGAAGTGCAATCTGCAAACTCAGCCAAGCTGCTTCTGACACAGGAATCCAGGTCATTTACGAATATGTTAAAAAGAGTACTGGTCTGAGTACTGAACCCTGATGGATGTCACTGGTCACCATGCGCCACGTTGACTTGGTTCCATCGACTATCACCAGAGTCAGCCCTAGGGGTGTGCAGGGCCCGGGGCATATCAGGCTGCGCGGGGCATGGGGCAGGGAGTGGTGAGCAGCTGGAACGTGGAGCCGGCAGTATATGGCAGAGCCTGTACACCACTGTCCACAGAGCCCGCCAAAGTGCGCAACCCGGGGCAGTCACCCCAATTCTCCCTCTCCAAGGGATGGCTGACTATCACTCTCTGGGTCCAACCACAGAGCCAGTTCCCCAGCCATTGGACCATAAGGTTGTTGAGGCTGCAGTTCCCCAATTTTGTCATGGGGACATCATAGGAGACCAAATCAAAGGCTTTTCTGAAATTCAAGTAAATGACATCAGCCTCTCCTCCTCTGTCCAGGTAACGTGTCACCTCGTCATAGAAGGAGATGAGGTTGGTCAGGCACAACCTACCTTAATGAAGCCATGTTGGCTGTCTCTCAGAATGGTGCTTTCCGTTAGCCTGTTGTTGATGGATTCTTTAATAATTTTTTCCATGATCTTTTCAGGGATTGAAGTCAAACTGATTGGTCTGTACTTCCCTAGATCTTCCTTCCTTCCTTCCTTCCTTTCATTCTTGAAGATAGTCACCATATTGATCCTCTTCCAATCATCAGGAACCTCTTCCAAGCGCAATGAGTTCTCACCATCGGTCATACTATGGTGTCAGTCAACGCTTTTAGCACTCTTGGGTGCATTTCATCACCCTGACTTATGGATGTCCAGCCTCTCATTGTGTTCCCTCACAAGGTCATTGCCAAATGTAGGTGTGTGGTCACCTGTATCTTCATAATTCTGTGTCCTGTCAGGCAGGGTGATCCCTTTGGGTTGGTGAAAAACCAATGCAAAGTAATCATTAAAGAGATTAGCTTTTTCCTGGGTGTCAGATGTCAGCTGCCCCATTTGATTCAGCAGGGATCCAATGTTGCCCTTATTTCTCTTTCAACTTCCCATGTATCTGAAGAAAGACTTTTTATTGTCACTGATACCCGTAGCCAGTTTGATCTTGGTTTTGTCCTTGGCTTTTCTGGTCTGCTCCCTATAGGTGCCGGCCAGTGCTGCATAATCCTCCTTAGAGGAATTTCCCATCTTCCAACCCTTATAGGCTTCTATTTTAAAATTCAGGAAGTCCATGAGTTCCTTATTGAGCCAAAGGGCCCTACCAGCCCTTTTACTATCTTTCCTACAGGCTGGAATGGATTTCCCTTGTGCTTTCAGGATCACATCCTTAAGGAGTGACCACCTGTCTTGGACTCCCTTCCCTGTCAAATCATGATCTTTCAGGGTCTTGACAACCAACCTTCTGAGCTTATGAAAGTCAGCTTTCCTAAAGTTGAGGATTTCAGCATTGCTGACTGATTTGCAAGCTTTGCTATGGACAGAGAAAGTGATCAACTCATGATCACTGTCACCAAGCTTCTCTTCAATCCTCAGGTTGCTCACTAGATCATCCTCTTTGGCCAGAACCAGATCTAGCACCATCTCACCCCACCCTTTGTCAGCCCGTGGACTTGGTATGATTAACCAAGTAATCACACCTTAAGTTGCCCGTGGACTTAGTCAGATAGAGCTCATCAATGCAGGTGAGGAAGCTTCATGACCAGTCAGATTTGGCTGAATGCTCTTCCTATGAGATGTCAGGGTGGTTGAAATCACCCATGACAACCATGCACCAAGAGCATGCACTCTGTTAGTTCCCTAGAGAATTCATAGTCAACACTTCCTCCTGGTTAGGAGGTCTGTAATAGACTCCTACAGTAATACTCCCTTCACCACGTTCTCTTCATATTCTAAACCAGAAGGTTTCAAGTTGCCCTCCTTGGGTGCCAATGTCAGCTAGTAGGGAAGTGTACTGCTCCTTAACATAAGAGAGCCACACCCCCGCCCTTCCTCCCAACACAGTCTCTTCTGTACAAGGTACAGCCATCTATACCTGTGGTCCAGTCATAGGTGGAGTCCCACCAGGTCTCTGTTATCCCTAAGAGATCATATTTGTTATTGCTTAGCAGAAGGATTAGTCCCTCCTGTTTGTTCCCCATGCTCCTCGCATTTGTGTACAGGCAGCCTAGCCTGCCATCAGAAGCCATAGGCTGCTTTGTGCGTTTAGGACAGTCCCATCCTTGGGCTGGGGTCAGGGTAAGTTTGATTGTATTAGTGAACTTCATTTACTTTTTTCATAATTACCAACATTTGCAGTGACTCCCTAGTATGAGATTTCTGCCTCACTATGACTACTTAACACCTGCTGTAACACAGTTTGATTGTTCTTGGCTCTTCAGTCTGGTTGCTCCAGCCAGAATTGACTGATTGCTCTTGCCTATGTTCAATATTTCACCATTTTTTCACCTATTCCATGTGGCTTTCATTATACTCTTTTCCTGTATCACTGTCCTCTGTTGTCTTCTATTCACCTGCTCCTATTTCTGGCTCCCTTTCTCTTATGTCCTAACTATCACAAGAAAGGGTTTAAACAAAGCTATGTTTATTTTCTCAATGATTCCTTTAAATTTACCACATTCATGAGTTAAGCGTATGCATTCCCCAAAGTGGAAGCAACTCATCCAGTGATTCAGCAATTCAACCAGTATCAACCCCAAGTTTCAACCAATATCCCAACCTCCAGGGTTAGAGGAGTACTTATTTCAAAGCCTCACAAGATAGCCAGACATTCATGAACCACCCCTCCCCACACAACTTATTTTTCACTTTTCCAAAGGATTTCATGCATGATTTAGCTTCCATGAACTCCCAAATTACTGACCATAGCAAGACACTATGAAACAACAAAATCCAAGGTTACTAAAATGAGGAAGATCCCCTAAGTCTTCACACAGGAACACATATATATCACATTTTTAAAAGATCCAGTTATCCAACCAAACAAATTCAAACATTTTTCCTAGGGGTGTGAAGTGTTTCTTTTCTTGCTATTCAAAGACGGCACAACATGTTTAATAAAATAGATAACTGGTTGAAATGAACCATGAAAAGCTTGAAAACCAAATGGCAAATTATCCTGAGAAAACTGTGCGACTGCAATTAAACAACAATTTAAGAGAAATTAGACATACTTTCTTCCTGCAGTCGAGCCATGATCTGAACATCAGTGAGGTCCTGTAGTTTGTATCCCATGGAGATAGAATCATCCTCAAGTTCCGAAGTGCTCAGTTCACTGTCTATTGATGACTGAGGGCTGAGAGGGGAACTTCTGGAAGTATAACCTACACAAAAGAACACATTCGTTTATAGCTACCATTTCACAAAGTGCTGTCATCCAAATAATTTTTATATGCTCATAGAAAGTCAATGGAAAAAGAGTCCTATTGTCTTTTACTTATTGATTTCATGCTTGTGAAACATGGAAGACATTCTAGAATACAAATCCCTGTTTGTTAGTGAAAAAGGTATACCACAAATAAAAGAACAATTTACTCAGCTCAATTTTGATTACTTGGTCCAGCCTTTATTCTAAAACACCTCAAACATTTAAGTTGCTCTTAGCTGAACAGGGGGTCTCCTCTAAGAAACAACAGCATCAATGTGTCATGAACTTCACCCACTCTCCTACATGCATGGTTTCTGAGTTATTTTCAAATACCTATTTATTACAGGTTTTTTAAAATTATTTGTAATTATAGTTGGACCAGTTGGTAACAACAATCCAGGCCCCAGCATGCTAGTCATTGTACAAACACATAGGATAGAAATTCCTCCCCACAAAGGTCTTGTAATAGAAGAGGAAACTGGATTCTATTCCTTTGGGACTAGTTACATGTTTAGTAATTAAGTAAACTGGTTCAGTTCAGCAAGTGCAGCCCCATGAAGGTACTGGGACTGCATAGATGAAACTGAGGGTCTCTGTGCCAGAATCTGTGGCTGCTTGAAGAAGAAGCAGTGCATTACTTCAACCCAGCTTTGCAGCATCTGTATAGATCAGACACTGCAGCGAGACTTTTTGGTGCTTTAAATTTAAAGCTGATTCAATCGGCTACTAAATAAAAGCGCAAAAAAGCCCCTATACAGGCTTTGGGAAAGCTGGGTCCAATTTACATGCTGCTTCTTCTGGGCATCCACTGGGCTCAGCATGGGAATGTGCCGAGTTTAAAGTTTAAAGTGCCATTTTAATTTTTTTTTTTTTGTTAACCTCTGCAAGCAGCCTTTATTATCGGTTACAACATGAAAGCGTGTGGAGAACTTTAATTCGAGCCCAAGTGAGCTTCAAGGGTTCGCAGGAAAAAGGTACAAACATTTTTTCTATAAGCTGAGTATAGCTGAAATGGAGGTCTTAAACAAAATACACAAACCCATCCCACCAATGTTATTTTTACTGACATTTTCTTGGTACAACCACACACACAGTACATTCAAGCACTATCAGTTTATTGTGCAGCATAAGAAATATTGAGCACAATTCATCTTCACAGCAGTTATAAAGTCATTCATATGAACATGTATCATATTGCAACATTTCCAGACTTGAAGACTGGACAGGAATTTTTCTTTGTCCAGTCTCCAAACTAAATTGTGGCTTCCTTCAGTAAGCTGGCAGCAAAGCTCACAAATTGTTTATTTCAAAAACAATTAAAATTACATGATTTTTAATTTTGAAAAGAAAAAACAAATCAAATAAACTATTTTGTCAAGATTAAGATCAAAGTGTTGATAAACTATTCCAGTTTCAGGAAAGTCTCATAAATAAAACTAAAAACAGAATTTTCAACAGCCTACGGAGATTATGCCATACACCACAATACAAATATTTAGAACTGAATTGTTGGTTGCTGAAACTTGCCTACTTTAGTATTCATGAGACATTCCTGAAACTAAAATAGGTTTTCACCACTTTGGTCTCCTTGCTGAAAAAACATGTTAACACTGCAAAGAGGCCAGGGTTTCTGTGGGAGATATCTTTATCCCAATCATGTACCTGGTCCAGTAAGACATAGATCAGTGGTTCTCAATCTTTTTAGACTCAAGGCTCCCCTTGTCAAACTCAAAGCACCCCTCAGAAAATGCCAGCTCTTAGTTTCCATTTGTTTTTTGTTTACAGAAAAATAATAGTGCAATTTTTTTGCTGCAAAGAACTCAGAAAGATCACAAGTCATTAAAACTATGGACCTTTATTTGAAATCACTCTATTATCTTGTGAATCATGCTTGCACACCTAACAGTGATAATACTGAGTGACACCCTTGAAAAGATCTCAAGAATCACCGACTTAAGACAAACTTGAAATAGGTGCATTTTTCTGGTCCACTAAAAAATACCACTCACAAAAATCATTGCCTCTTACATATTTACTGGAACATCATGACTACAACATCCCTCCAACATTACCTTAACACTGCAAAGTTATGCATGAGTGTTTCTGGGGTTGGTCTGTTAAATTTTTCCTTTGAATAATATAAATATATGTTCATATTATTTTTCCAAATTTCTAGCATCTTCTAGCTCAGGTTTAGGTTCACAAATCATTTTAATCTGCTCTGCGAGGTCAGGGGAGTTAACAGATGCCACTCTGAATACATGTCCAAAAAAAGTGGCTGCCATTCTTTGCTCTCTGAGCTAGTCAGATGTGATTTTATGTAAAAGCCAGAGTATGAAACCATGTTTTAAAAGCCTTGTGTTTCCATTTATTGTAAAAGAACTTCCATTTTCCATCTCACTGTGAGAAGAAGCAAGCTTCTCAGCACTAGGTAGGTCTTGATTTTTGGAAACAAAGTGCCCGGACAGATCAGCATGCCACTTTTGGTGCTACTGCCCCTGGACTACAGCTGTCACCTATCAAAGGGAAAGGAACTGATCTCCTCCACCTCCACTGTATTTAAGTACAGAATGGAGAAGCAAACCCAGCACTGCTGAAAAAGAGCAATACAAGCCTTTTGCCATCTGGTCACCACTAGAACTAAAATTATGCTTCCCCAAGCTTCCTATTCTATCTTTACTTGTTGAGCACATCTTACAAAGGAGTAACAAGTGGGGACAAATAATTTTGTCATGTAAGGCTTCTCCAGTTAAAACAAAACTATTTATAAAAGCCAATTCACTATAATACATTATGTAGAATAGAGGATAATCCTCCACTTAGTAAGTCATATGGCTAAAATTGTTGACATTTTTAACTAACAGTTAGGCATTTAGTATATTGCTGTTAAACAGCAAAGGAATTAGATTTAGTAAAGCAGTTTTATAAGCAACAAGTTAAAAAAAAAAAAAGCATTACCTGTCCTTTCAGGTGTTAGTATTGCTTTATTCGAGGTTTTAGAGAAGTTGGGACTGTTAAAGCCATTGCTATATGGGGACAGTCTTGCAACAGGACTATAAGGGAAAGCCAAGGAGACAGGCGTAGAGAAGAGATTCCGCCATCGGCTAGCTGTTACAGATGCAAAGAAAAAATTAAAGGTTTAAGGTTATAAAGAGAATATTGCCTTATCAAGATAAAATAATAAAATCATAATCTGTTCACTATAACAGTCCATGTCAAGAGGAAAATGGCCCAAAGTCAATAGCAAAACACAAGAATTTTTACTTTTTTTGTGGATAAATGAGAACAGGCCACTTATTTTATGTATTATTTACAATAACATCGCAAAGCATTTGGTCTACTCAGCAATATAATAGGGGGGTCTCAAAATAGGCAAAATTAAGCTAACTTAAGCTCCAGCACCACGTGGCTCCCAGCTTCATCGCCAGATCAGGGAGCACAGGGCCACACCGGTACCAGTGTGTGCATACGTGTGTGTGTAGGGAGGGGCAGAGTGTGTGTTTACATTTGTACAGTGAGTCCCACACACACCCCCCACCATACACATGCACCCACACACCCCTTCACACTGCCATACAGAGACCCCCAAACCCACACAGCACCCCACAAAACCCATACACCCACACCCACCCACATATCCACACACACCCCCACATGTTCCCTCACCCCCGCCAGACACCCACACCCCACATACCCACATCCCCCCCACAAGCCTATACCCACCCCTCCACGCCCCTCACAATATACAAGAGTAAGACTTCATTTCAAGCTATTATGCAATCACCTCTAGGTACACTACACAAACGCATGTAAATCAGGACAAAAATATTTTTTGAAATCAAATTAATGAATGTTGTAGATGTTTGATTTTTAGAATATAATTTGGTATTTTTTTGGTTCCAAGATGGCAAAACCCCTTGCTGAAAGGAGTACTTCCGGGGACAAAGGGAGGGACTTCTGGTGGCAAAGATCAGGAGTTATGGGACAGGACTTCCAGTCACAGGATAATGACCAGGAGCGCGGCACCTGTCAAGGGCTGGGGCTACCCATGTGGCCCCCGACACCTTGCCAAAACTCAGAAACTCTGCCTGAAATAACCGCCCGCCCAAGGTTTCTAACAGACGGGTACAGATAGATTTAACAAACTGCTATCCAATGGTATGCAAAACTCTAAAACTAATGGTTCAGAGATGATACCTTTTATTTGGCCAACTAAAAAAAAAAAAAAAAAATCACAAAAAAATCATCACAAAAAATAATTATTAAATTATTGCATTTCTTTGCAAGCTTTCAGGTGCCCTTCTTCAGGCTAAGGGAAAATTAAAGCTTGCAAAGACAGATAATCCCCAAACCAAAAATTGGTTTGTTTTCTTTTAAATCAGAGAAAACCAGGATCCCCGCTGATCATTACATTTCAATTTAGAGTAGCAGGAAGAAAATTTTTCTTCTCTTTAGCACAACCAATGTGAGGAATTTATACAAGTGTACTAAATTGTGAGGATTTTTAGTTCCCCTGCTAAGCTCTTCAGGTGCAAGCAGCTCCTCACCTGTTCAAAAAAATCTCCCACCCATGGTTTCCCAATCCCTTTAAAGGGTGTACAAATCAACCTTTTCTACCGCGTATTCAAACCAACACCAAACTTCTCCCTTTGAAGCTGCTGTGTTGCAGAAAATATGTAGCACTGCTGAGAGAATAAAGGAAGCGCTCATTACCATTAGTGGAACAAAGCAATCTGCAATGGAAGTGAAGAATTTGCAATGCCCTAGAATCCTTCATGGTGTGACAGAAATTAGACTAGGAAATGAAAAGGGCATAATCATGCAAAATAAAATCTGCTTAGTCAAGAAAATATTGTGATCCCCTCCCTTTCCCAAGATAACACAATTCCTCCACCTTTCAAAAGAAAAAGAAAATTAAAGTTCTGAGGTCTTAACAAAGATGCACTGGCACAATATCTAGCCACAGTGTCTACGTCTCATCAATCCTATTAATCTTTAGCATTAAACACATCCAATTTCATTCCAAAGGAGTTCAACTACACAGACTGTCTTAAAGAGAATGCTCAGTACAACTGTACCTGTAATTTTTAAACTTTTTATTAACACTCAGTACCTTTAGTTAAAGATCACCATTCAATAACAAAGGATTACACTGACAGGATCACAAAGAACTATTCTCTCATCCAACACAAGCTGTTTTGTAACAGTTTGAACACTTGCCAGGCCAATTAGCTGCCTGCATGTTCTCACCCACAGATGTGGTCAACAATACAACACAAATAAACAGTATTCATCACTTTGTAAAATAACGACTGTGAACAGCCCCACCAAGCACAAACCTAGTTATTGTGGCTACGACAGTAAGAACCCACACCAAGAAACACAATTAGTATTTATGGCAAACAAGATTCCAAATTACTTTTTTCAGTTTGTGCTTTCAAGAAAAGATGGAAGTGATAAAAATATACACATATATGTATAGACTCATCAAAAAACCTGAACAGGGCAAAAAGGAAACAAACATGGCTTGTTTTAGATGTTTTGACCAGAGTATCTAAGATATAACTTTACTGAATTTAAATTTCATTACTTAGCTCTGCTTTTTAGAATGAAATTTACAGAAAGTATTTGTTTATTTATTAGATTTATATCCTGCGCTATCCAAAAGACTCAGTTCATTTGGACTCCATTTTAATAAAACAAAATAAAGTCTTGTGATGCTCGATTTTATCTTAAATCAGTCACTCCTGCCATAGTGACTAATTTTGAGGCTCAGGTTTCATTTAAAAAATAAAATAAAAGTAAAGCAAGTTTCTAAAAATAGCACTTGTGGAAAAACGTTTGTAAACTAGTCTGTCATGTACCCTAAAGAGTGTAAAGACGGACCCGAGAAGAACAGAGCATTAAGAACAAATAAGTAGGAGTGGGAAATGAAGAATCTTGAAGTTAAGAAGCTCCTGAGAGCTGCTCTCTTTAGTAAGGGAAAAAGGTTGCAGTACAGCAAGAATGCAACCTTTCATCACATGGAGTTGTCTACATTGCAGAAAGAGATTAAAGAGATTGAAGTTCTGTACTACAGTTCATCACAGATGGCCCCCAACAAATAAGTTCAAATCAGATTTAGACGTTTTGGCTGTGGACAGAAGTTATCACTTAAATCAGTGTGTGTCAGAAACTGGTTTAAACCTGTAACAGAAGAGAAGTTCATTGCACATATACCAGTTTCAAAATGGTCAAAACCAGATTGAGATAAACCCGGTTGAATGTAATATCAGGCTTAACTGATTTGGCTCAAGCAGGTTTATGCAATGTCTGTCCCAGACCAGGTTTAACTTAAACCAGATTCCTTCAGTATCCTTGGCATGCTCTCTAGCCTGGGCTCTCTGCTCCAGCCCAGACAAGCTGGCCCTGCTCCTCTGCTCCCCAGCTGAAGCAGGGACAGGCTGGGGCAGGCAGGGTCAGGGGTCTGGCCAGAGAGGGGTTTAATTCCCCACTCTCTATCACACCAGCAGAGACTCAAGCCAGGTCTGCCAGACACTCCCCCCTTGCTGCTGCAGCAGCAGGAAACCATGGCCCCTGAAGCAAAGGCAGGCAGGGAGGAGGGTTAGTCTTTCCCCTGCCCCATTGGCAGCCAGGTCTTCCCATCATTGCTGCTGCACTTGGAATAAGCCCCCTGCTGTCCTCTCCACCAGACACTGGAAGCAGGGGGAATAACCCCTGTCCCTGCCCCCCACCCCAAGGGGCTCTGCCGGCCAGCATCTATCCCTACCCCCACCGTGCCACTGCAGCAGGAGGCGGCAGGGCCCTTGCTAGGGGCAGCAGCCCCTGTCATAATGTCAGGGAGCGTGAGCCCCTTCCTGGCAGGGGCACTGCGCTGCAGGGCAGGGCAGGGCAGGCCAGGGCAGGCAGAGCTACAGCAGGCTGCACACAGCAGCACCGGGGTCTGGAAGGGGCCAGAGCCCTCCAAGGCCCAGCAGCACCGCCATGCTCCGCAGTAGCTCTGCCCACCCTGCAGTGCAGCCCCCCCACCAGGAACAGGCTTGCACTTGGGGAAACCATGACAGGGGTTGCCCCCATCACAGCTGCTCCCCCCTTGCCACTCCAACAGCGGGCGGTGGGGAGGCCAGACACCACTAGCAGGGCCCTGGGGGGGGCAGGGAGTGGGATTATTCCCTTCTTTGCCCTCAGGGCACCACTGCTGGGTCTGCCCAGCCTGGCTGCTGCTACTGCAGCAGCTTGGTCCACACTCGGGGCAGCATCCAGCAGAATAACCCCCCTCCTACCAGGAGGGGTCTGGCCCCAAGAGCAGACAGAGTGGCGGTGGCAGGGCAGACCCGGCTGTGGTGACCTCGGGGCAGAGAGGGGAATAACCCTGTTCCCTGCCCCCCACCCCCCAGGGGCCCTGCAGGCAGCATCTGGCCCCGCCCCTGCCCAGGCACTGGAGTGGCAAGGGGGCAGCAACCATGACGGTTTCCCCAAGTGCAGACTTCTTCCTGGCAGGAGGCCATGCTGCGGGGCAGGAAGAGCTGTTGTGGAGCGCAGTGGTACTGCAGGGGGCTTGGGAGGACTCTGGCTCCCTCCGGACCCCGGTGCTACCATGCACAGCCCGCCCCAGCTCTGCCTGACCCATAGCGTAGTACCTCCACCAGGAAGGGGCTCACGCTCCCCAACATTATGACAAGGGCTGTTTCCCCCATCAAGGGCCCTGCCCCCTCCCGCTGCATGTGGCCAGATGCTGGCCTTCAGGGCACCTTGTGACAGGAGGCAGGGACGGCGGTTATTCCCCCACCCTCCGGCGTTTGCCAGAGGGGACAGCAAGGGGCTTATTCCACCACAGGGAGCGAGTGCGACGGTGAAAGCGGGCAGAGTCGACTGCCAGTGGGGGTAGGGGAGAGGCTAACCTTCCTCCCTGCCTCCATCTGCCTCAGGGGCCATGGTGCCCTGATGCTGCAGCAATGAGGGGGGAGCGCCCAGCAGACCGGCTCAGGTCCTTGCCGGTGGGACAGGGAGGGGGGAATTAAATGCCTCTCTGGCCAGTTCAGCCTGGATTGGCCACACTCTCCCAGCACACTTCTCTGCAGCTGAGAGCATATTCTAACACCCTCCCG